ATATAGGGTGACCCGGTTAGAGCACGTAGAAGCCTCAAACTAAAGGTAATTAAGCCAGGTCTTCAATGTTCCATGTACAGTTTTCTCTGATATAGCTTGTCATATATAGAATCTGGCTTTACAGCTAGCGCCCTTTTGACAGGTCAAGACGAGGAAGATTTTGTGCACCAGTTACTGGGTGATGGAAGCTACCTCAAAGAGGATAATTTGGTGTCTACACCCTAGTTATACCTGGTGGACTAACGTGCTGTACTATAAGATAAGGAACCTCTTCAATGTATGTAGTCTATTACTGTAGTTTGATTGGCTGCATATATTCAATTAATAATAACCCCCCCGAATGTGTAGAGGATCGATTTGTGAGATTATGAGATTATTGCAGAAATACAGTCCACTTATCATTATACAAATTGCTATCGAAGTATATAAATTAACGTAAATATAAATTCATATAAATTAAATAAATATAAATCTCACAGGTCGGTTCCCACAACAATTATTAAACAGTTTATTAGCTCCGAAGTACCAGGAGGCTGTTTATAACAATAACAACAGTTGATTGGGAAGTTTTCATGCTTGTAAAGTGTTTAATAAATATAACCAAAGCCGTCAAAGATTGAGGAAAGATATACATGTTCGTAAGTACTTGCGTAACTGCTTCGTGAATCTGGTCCCTGGCCAGGCTCCAGTCTCAAGAACTGGGGCACCGCCTCACTTAGGTACCAGTTAGTCACCCTAAATGTTGAGGTGAACACTAGTGTGGTTACTACGGTTCTCCTGTCCCATCATTGTGGTGGGAGCTGGGATCTTCACAACTGACATTGTGATATTAACTGTGTAAGAGTGGCAGGGTGCTCCATGTGCCCAGGTGGACATGGTCACCTGCCCTGAACGTGGGAGTCTTGTCTCCTCCTTATCACTAAAATTACATTTGACAGTGGAACTCTCCCGACCGTTATTGTCCTGGGGAAAGTTAAGTGTTCTCTCTGGGAAAATGTTTCCTCCCCACGCATTGGAAGTCTGGCCATCGTGCTCCGGCTTATAAAAATGCAACCTTTTTTGGATAGTTTTTCATAAAGTTCGGACTTGTCAAGTCCACTTGCAAAACCCTTACCAGTTCGCTGAATTAATTGCAGTGGTGAACTCCCTACATTCTTGGGTTTTTGTATCACTATAAGATGCAGCAGTTCATTTGGCATCTAAAGCACAATGACAATCTTGTCAAGACAAGGTTGTCTTGTTTTACGTTTTCAAGACAAGGCTTCAGCTGTGGCATCTACACTGATGTCACATTTGCTGCTCGTCGAGGGTCCTCAACCTACACTACTTCCGGTCCCCGGCTGAAGAATAGCTGGCACGTCCTCGCACCAGAGACCTTGACTGGAGCAGCTTGTTCTCGCAGCTCTCTACAGTCTCCTGCCAAGAGCGTCACTCTCCAGCCCCGTCCACACGTCTGTGTGTCTGCCTACTCCCCGTCCCTGCCCTTCTCCATGCTCTGGCCCGTCCTCTCCTTCCCCGTCTCTCTCCACTACCATTGCCAGTGTTGGTCCCTCGGGGATTCAATTACACTCTTCCCTTCCATGCTCCCCTCTAGGGTCTTCTCCAACCCCTCACACTTACTGATGGTGTCCACCCCTGTCACTGTCAGCCTCAACATCGTCTCTGGCTGAAGCTGTTGCCGACATCTCGAATTATATTGTGGTCGTAACCCTTCCCGCCGTACGCCTCCATCTTCCTGCCAGGAGCGTAACTCTGATCCCTCCATCTCTTCCATTCCTGAGGAAATGAAGGCCTCTGTCTCTGACCCTTCCATCGTGTCTGCCCGTCTTCTGGAATCTAGCAACATCCTCGTTCATCCTTACTATCTAGAGAGAAGAAGCACATGTTTATGGCTTATCCAACAAAGCCAGGATACTTTCATGTTTCTATCACTGGCTTACAAGTACCTCTGCTATGGCGGTGTGTCCACTCACAAGATGAGTGACGCTGCCCAATACTGTCACTATGGCGGTGTGTCCACTCACAGGATGAGTGACGCTGCCCAATACTGTCACTATGGCGGTGTGTCCACTCACAGGATGAGTGACGCTGCCCAATACTGTCACTATGGCGGTGTGTCCACTCACAGGATGAGTGACGCTGCCCAATACTGTCACTATGGCGGTGTGTCCACTCACAAGATGAGTGACGCTGCCCAATACAGTCACTATGGCGGTGTGTCCACTCACAAGATGAGTGACGCTGCCCAATACTGTCACTATGGCGGTGTGTCCACTCACAGGATGAGTGACGCTGCCCAATACTGTCACTATGGCGGTGTGTCCACTCACAGGATGTGTGACGCTGCCCAATACTGTCACTATGGCGGTGTGTCCACTCACAGGATGAGTGGCGCTGCCCAATACTGTCACTATGGCAGTGTGTCCACTCACAGGATGAGTGACGCTGCCCAATACTGTCACTATGGCGGTGTGTCCACTCACAGGATGTGTGACGCTGCCCAATACTGTCACTATGGCGGTGTGTCCACTCACAGGATGAGTGGCGCTGCCCAATACTGTCACTATGGCGGTGTGCCCACTCACAGGATGAGTGGCGCTGCCCAATACTGTCACTATGGCGGTGTGTCCACTCACAGGATGAGTGGCGCTGCCCAATACTGTCACTATGACAGTGTGTCCACTCACAGGATGAGTGGTGCTGCCCAATACTGTCACTATGGCGGTGTGTCCACTCACAGGATGAGTGGCGCTGCCCAATACTGTCACTATGGCGGTGTGTCCACTCACAGGATGAGTGGCGCTGCCCAATACTGTCACTATGGCGGTGTGTCCACTCACAGGATGAGTGGCGCTGCCCAATACTGTCACTATGGCGGTGTGTCCACTCACAGGATGAGTGGCGCTGCCCAATACTGTCACTATGGCGGTGTCTTCACTCACAGGATGAGTGGCGCTGCCCAATACTGTCACTATGGCGGTGTGTCCACTCACAGGATGAGTGGCGCTGCCCAATACTGTCACTATGGCGGTGTCTCCACTCACAGGATGAGTGGCGCTGCCCAATACTGTCACTATGGCGGTGTCTCCACTCACAGGATGAGTGGCGCTGCCCAATACTGTCACTATGGCGGTGTGTCCACTCACAGGATGAGTGACGCTGCCCAATACTGTCACTATGGCGGTGTGTCCACTCACAGGATGAGTGGCGCTGCCCAATGCTGTCACTATGGCGGTGTGTCCACTCACAGGATGAGTGACGCTGCCCAATACTGTCACTATGGCGGTGTGTCCACTCACAGAATGAGTGGCGCTGCCCAATACTGTCACTATGGTGGTGTGTCCACTCACAGGATGAGTGGCGCTGCCCAATACTGTCACTATGGCGGTGTGTCCACTCACAGGATGAGTGGTGCTGCCTAATACTGTCACTATGGTGGTGTGTCCACTCAAAGGATGAGTGGTGCTGCCCATTACTGTCACTATGGTGGTGTGTCCACTCAAAGGATGAGTGGCGCTGCCCAATACTGTCACTATGACGGTGTGTCCACTCACAGGATGACTGACGCTACCCAATACTGTCACTATGGCGGTGTGTCCACTCACAGGATGAGTGGCGCTGCCCAATGCTGTCACTATGACGGTGTCTCCACTCACAGGATGAGTGGCGCTGCCCAGTACTGTCACTATGGCGATGTCTCCACTCACAGGATGAGTGGTGCTGCCCAATACTGTCACTATGACGGTGTGTCCACTCACAGGATGAGTGGCGCTGCCCAATACTGTCACTATGACGGTGTCTCCACTCACAGGATGAGTGGCGCTGCCCAATACTGTCACTATGGCGGTGTGTCCACTCACAGGATGATTGGTGCTGCCCAATACTGTCACTATGACGGTGTGTCCACTCACAGGATGAGTGGCGCTGCCCAATACTGTCACTATGGCGGTGTGTCCACTCACAGGATGAGTGGCGCTGCCCAATACTGTCATTATGGCGGTGTGTCCACTCACAGGATCAGTGCCGCTGCCCAATACTGTCACTATGGCGGTGTGTCCACTCACAGGATGAGTGGCGCTGCCCAATGCTTTCACTATGACGGTGTCTCCACTCACAGGATGAGTGACGCTGCCCAATACTGTCACTATGACGGTGTGTCCACTCACAGGATGAGTGGCGCTGCCCAATACTGTCACTATGGCGGTGTGTCCACTCACAGGATGGGTGGCGCTGCCCAATACTGTCACTATGGCGGTGTGTCCACTCACAGGATGAGTGGCGCTGCCCAATACTGTCACTATGGCGGTGTGTCCACTCACAGGATGAGTGACGCTGCCCAATACTGTCACTATGGCGGTGTGTCCACTCACAGGATGAGTGACGCTGCCCAATACTGTCACTATGGCGGTGTGTCCACTCACAGGATGAGTGGCGCTGCCCAATACTGTCACTATGGCGGTGTGTCCACTCACAGGATGAGTGACGCTGCCCAATAAACTCTCCCCCTCGGGGCAACAAACCTCTGGCAGTTTACACAACATGCCGCTGTACACAGCACCAAATACACTCTCTTAAACGAATTATTCCTCTAAAATTTCAGAATGACATACTTAAATATGAAATATCCAAATATGTAGAAACAATTATTTGAAAGCAATATTAAGAAACATCCAGATATTTCATTTACAATAACAATGTAAAATCAATTCAAATATGTAACTTTACATATTGTAGTTAGTTTTGCTAAGTACATATAGGATGCATAACACATTATGCATCCTATACCCATCCTGTGGTCGTGAGAGATTACAGATACACAATGATTTGTTTACAATTTGTCGAGCTAATTAAGTTAATATATGTAAATAGGCCATTACCTCCAAATTGCTTAGCAATTTTTGTTAAATCCATTTAACATGGTGGCGGAGTGAAGGTGTTGTTAAGATATTTACCATGGTAATATGTGTGGTGTTAATTATTGTCCCATTGTGTTCCGGCAGCGTGTTGAACCGGAGCCCTGAACACCTGGTCAAGGAGATCATCCTTGTCGACGACTTTAGTGATGACCGTGAGTATATACCTTTTATTTTTTATTTTATTTTTTTTTAACTAAGACTATGATTCATAAGGATGCCAAATGACATACCTAGTGAAGCTGCAAGCAAGGGCTGTTATCCTACCTCAGCTCATCTGAAGCCTACACCTAGAAACTCATTTATTTCATAAGAGTATACTTTGAAACTAACACATTGGGAACTATCTTATATTGAACTTATGTAAGCTAAGTTGAAACCTACTCCTAGATGCACATTTATTTCATGAGCCTGTTATTATTTGCTTTAGAAGGAATAGCCTTTATTCATTAAAAAACATTAAGTAACAATCATATAAGGAACAGGATGAGCTTGTAGCCAGCTGTGTGCCAGAGTCTTCATGTGAACAGTTGACCTGATCTCGCGTGTATCAATCTGTTGAGCGAACAAGTTCCAGATACGAGTCAGCCTCGGAAGGAATGAACGCTGATGGAGTGATGTTCTTGAGAATGGCACTTCAAGCATGAGACTGTTGAAGGTTGAGAGCCTAGTGTTACGAGTGGGAACTACTGTTACTCCACGGAGTTGGGCCAAGTGCGGAACTTTGAGGATGTTGGCCTTGTACATAACAGTAAGACCAACAACGTCCCGACGGTGTTGCAGGGTCTGATGTTCAGACCGTTCCCACCAGACTTGGTCAAGACTAGAGATAAGCCTTCTTGCCTGTCTCTCTACTTTGTCCAACAGTCTGACGAAAGATGGGGGGGGCAAGCAATCCAGGAAAGGGGTGCATACTCTAGATGGGAACGAACTTGGGCTTCATATAAGGTTTTGCATCCCTTGCTGTCAAGAAGATATGAGATGCGCCGTAGTGCTGTAAGTTTCCTGGCTGCCTTTTTAGCTAGGTTTAGCACATGGCTCTTCATTGTCATTGAAGAGTCGAACTTCATTCCCAAGATGTCAAACTCTGTGAACTCTAGGGATTTGCCACCCATTTGCAATTCTGTCCGATTCGTCATGTGCAGTCTAGATATCATCATCGCTTGAGTCTTCTCAGCCGCAAATGTGACCTGCCATCTCCTACCCCAGGTAGAAATTGCTGAAAGTTTGTGATTAATGATTCTTGCAGCTGAAGATCGTTGAAATAAACATTCCACAGCAGAGGGCCAAGTGTCGTGACGCTGAACCCCGGTTCATTCCGAACACAGCGATTACACAACACATAACACCTTGCCTCAGCAACCGTTACTACCACCGTGTACTCCTACACACACCAGACCCTTGAGGCGTACCACTAGGTTTGTACTGGAACACAATGAATGAACATAGGGAAGTTATTTAAAGGCCGTCGGGTTTTGTCATTTAATTACAAAGAATAGACTCTGACAAATAATACTATATTAATTAACATACTCTATTAGGTCAATACACTTCCAATACCCATAGACCACTTGACCTCCGCGGTCACCACCCACACTCGTAACTTCCGCCTAAGTCCCTAATACGGAATGATTACTACAACGCTCCACACCCGGTTAGTCTTACATTCAATACTCACATACTGCAGACTTAACTTGGTCACTAAGATCACAACAGGCTCTCGCATAGCTGTCTGCTACACTTCGCTGCTGCCACAACCGGAGATGCGGAGGACTTCCCAGTTCCACTCCCACAATCAGACTGCCTCCAGTCAGCCATGGCCTCAAACATTTCACCACGCCTCTCAAGGAAGGTATAATCCGATTAACCTTATCCCTAGAGCGGTAACCTTGATCCTAGAAGCCTGACGACGAATAATTCCTCTTTCCAGGAATTATTAATTTGGCTAAACAGCTTCGGTCTTAATCCATTGACCTTTCTTAGATATGTGATCCATAGTCTGTCTACTTACATGTACTTCCAATCATCATTCGTTAAGTGTTGTAGTAATGATCCTCTAGCTAATAATTCCTACTAACTTGTGGATTACAACACCAAGTACACTACCCTGTAGAACGCTGCTCTCTCTCTCTCTCTCTCTCTCTCTCTCTGTCTCTGTCTCTGTCTCTGTCTCTGTCTCTGTCTCTCTCTCTCTCTCTCTCTCTCTCTCTCTCTCTCTCTCTCTCTCTCTCTCTCTCTCTCTCTCTGTCTCTCTGTCTCTCTCTGTCTCTCTCTCTGTCTCTCTCTGTCTCTCCCTGTCTCTCCCTGTCTCTCCCTGTCTCTCTCTGTCTCTCTCTCTCTGTCTCTCTCTGTCTCTCTCTGTCTCTCCCTGTCTCTCCCTGTCTCTCCCTGTCTCTCCCTGTCTCTCCCTGTCTCTCCCTGTCTCTCTCCCTGCCTCTCCCTGCCTCTCCCTGTCTCTCCCTGTCTCTTCCTGTCTCTCCCTGTCTCTCCCTGTCTCTCTCTGTCTCTCCCTGTCTCTCCCTGTCTCTCCCTGTCTCTCCCTGTCTCTCCCTGTCTCTCTGTCTTTCTCTGTCTCTCTCTGTCTCTCCCTGTCTCTCCCTGTCTCTCCCTGTCTCTCCCTGTCTCTCTGTCTCTCTCTGTCTCTCTCTGTCTCTCTCTGTCTCTCTCTGTCTCTCTCTGTCTCTCTCTGTCTCTCTCTGTCTCTCTCTGTCTCTCTCTGTCTCTCTCTATCTCTGTCTGTCTGTCTCTCTCTCTCTCTCTCTCTCTGTTCAAATAACTGTTATTTAGGTCAATAAAACACTTCCGTAGTTTATCTGTTTACAATACTGAACACTAACAAATAAACTAAACATAAAGGAGAGCACGATACATTTAGTTCCAACATAACACTGGTCATGGTCTTCAGGCCCACGCCAACCCCTCAACACCTGACCACTCGGGCATGAACTTAATATCAAAGCACGGGAATAACTGATCACTAAGATATGAACTTAATATCAAGGCCATGAATCCCAGACTCATTACAAACAAACACAGCCACAAGCAAAAACATGCTTCGGGCCCTAAGCCTCTGGCTAGTCCACTGTGCGGGCCCTAAGCTCTGGCTGGCCCACTGTGCGGGCCCTAAGCTCTAGCTGGTCCACTGTGCGGGCCCTAAGCCTCTGGCTGGCCCACTGTGCGGGCCCTAAGCCTCTGGCTGGTCCACTGTGCGGGCCCTAAGCTCTGGCTGGCCCACTGTGCGGGCCCTAAGCCTCTGGCTGGCCCACTGTGCGGGCCCTAAGCCTCTGGCTGGTCCACTGTGCGGGCCCTAAGCTCTGGCTGGCCCACTGTGCGGGCCCTAAGCTCTGGCTGGCCCACTGCGCGGGCCCTAAGCCTCTGGCTGGCCCACTGCGCGGGCCCTAAGCCTCTGGCTGGCCCACTGCGCGGGCCCTAAGCCTCTGGCTGGCCCACTGCGCGGGCCCTAAGCCTCTGGCTGGCCCACTGTGCGGGCCCTAAGCCTCTGGCTGGCCCACTGGGCGGGCCCTAAGCTCTGGCTGGCCCACTGGGCGGGCCCTAAGCTCTGGCTGGCCCACTGGGCGGGCCCTAAGCCTCTGGCTGGTCCACTGTGCGGGCCCTAAGCCTCTGGCTGGTCCACTGTGCGGGCCCTAAGCCTCTGGCTGGTCCACTGTGCGGGCCCTAAGCCTCTGGCTGGCCCACTGTGCGGGCCCTAAGCCTCTGGCTGGCCCACTGTGCGGGCCCTAAGCCTCTGGCTGGCCCACTGTGCGGGCCCTAAGCCTCTGGCTGGCCCACTGTGCGGGCCCTAAGCCTCTGGCTGGCCCACTGTGCGGGCCCTAAGCCTCTGGCTGGCCCACTGTGCGGGCCCTAAGCCTCTGGCTGGCCCACTGTGCGGGCCCTAAGCCTCTGGCTGGCCCACTGTGCGGGCCCTAAGCCTCTGGCTGGCCCACTGGCTGCGGGCCCTAAGCCTCTGGCTGGCCCACTGTGCGGGCCCTAAGCCTCTGGCTGGCCCACTGTGCCACTGGCTGGCCCACTGCGGGCCCTAAGCCTCTGGCTGGCCCACTGTGGCTGGCCCACTGCCGGGCCCTAAGCCTCTGGCTGGCCCACTGTGCGGGCCCTAAGCCTCTGGCTGGCCCACTGTGCGGGCCCTAAGCCTCTGGCTGGCCCACTGTGCGGGCCCTAAGCCTCTGGCTGGCCCACTGTGCGGGCCCTAAGCCTCTGGCTGGCCCACTGTGCGGGCCCTAAGCCTCTGGCTGGCCCACTGTGCGGGCCCTAAGCCTCTGGCTGGCCCACTGTAAGCGGGCCCTAAGCCTCTGGCTGGCCCACTGTGCGGGCCCTAAGCCTCTGGCTGGCCCACTGTGCGGGCCCTAAGCCTCTGGCTGGCCCACTGTGCGGGCCCTAAGCCTCTGGCTGGCCCACTGTGCGGGCCCTAAGCCTCTGGCTGGCCCACTGTGCGGGCCCTAAGCCTCTGGCTGGCCCACTGTGCGGGCCCTAAGCCTCTGGCTGGCCCACTGTGCGGGCCCTAAGCCTCTGGCTGGCCCACTGTGCGGGCCCTAAGCCTCTGGCTGGCCCACTGTGCGGGCCCTAAGCCTCTGGCTGGCCCACTGTGCGGGCCCTAAGCCTCTGGCTGGCCCACTGTGCGGGCCCTAAGCCTCTGGCTGGCCCACTGTGCGGGCCCTAAGCCTCTGGCTGGCCCACTGTGCGGGCCCTAAGCCTCTGGCTGGCCCACTGTGCGGGCCCTAAGCCTCTGGCTGGCCCACTGTGCGGGCCCTAAGCCTCTGGCTGGCCCACTGTGCGGGCCCTAAGCCTCTGGCTGGCCCACTGTGCGGGCCCTAAGCCTCTGGCTGGCCCACTGTGCGGGCCCTAAGCCTCTGGCTGGCCCACTGTGCGGGCCCTAAGCCTCTGGCTGGCCCACTGTGCGGGCCCTAAGCCTCTGGCTGGCCCACTGTGCGGGCCCTAAGCCTCTGGCTGGCCCACTGTGCGGGCCCTAAGCCTCTGGCTGGCCCACTGTGCGGGCCCTAAGCCTCTGGCTGGCCCACTGTGCGGGCCCTAAGCCTCTGGCTGGCCCACTGTGCGGGCCCTAAGCCTCTGGCTGGCCCACTGTGCGGGCCCTAAGCCTCTGGCTGGCCCACTGTGCGGGCCCTAAGCCTCTGGCTGGCCC